AAGTGTGTGTGTGTCTGTGTGTGTGTGTGTGTCTGTGTGTGTGTGTGTGTGTGTGTGTGTGTGTGTGTGTGTGTCACACAGTGCAGGTTAATACTGTGAAGCACATAGTAATTTTCTCTCTGTCGCCGGGTGGCCTCACGCTGTGGAAACGACAACACATTAACTGTTAAACAAGACACCTTAGACCCCGGGGTGGGAGCTGAGAGAGAAAGAGAGAGACACTGAGAGGGTGGGCGGGCGAGGAAGAGAGGAGAAACAATAAAGAGACTGAGAAAAAGATAGAATTGTAGAGAGTTTGGTGGGTGGGGAAAATAGAAATGATAATTCCCAATGTGGAGGCAGAGCAGGAAGAAGGGAGTGGTGGAGTGAAAGGTGAAAATGGAAGCAGAAAAAGAGGAAGAGGGCATTGCGATATCAATTTTAGAACTAAGTGATAACACATTCCTTTACAAGAAATTAAGAAATCCTCTTCTTCTCGTCGCAAAACTTGTTCACCTTTACAAACCGTTTGGAGAATTTTAGATCATAGAAATAATAATCAATACATGGATAAAAATCTAAGATGTTGCCCTTTGAAGGATTATCTGGACTGACACTCCAGATCTGCTCACATTGGATCTTTGCAGTCTGATTGAACAGCAATGTGCAGCCTACAGAGCACTTTAGATTTACTCTAGAGTATATTTTAAATACCTGTCACTTTAAGATGTCATTTAGACACACAGGAAAAAAGACGCATAAAAGCACTTGACTTGACAGCAGATAATCTGCCGTTAAAAGGAGTGAGGAGCAATTTGTTTATCATGAATAGATGCTGAAATGGATGTTGGTTGAGGAAGGAAGATTTTTTTTAAATAACTTTGTGCTACTTTGTGTAAATTGAGCATCTGACTTTATGTCTTCACATCCATCTAAAACCTCGATATTGGGGAATTTTGATTTTGATGTTTTTTCAGACTTCTGATCCCCAAGAAAAGATCCTGTAGGGCTACATTACATGTGTTTACTCCATACTGACTGAGGCAAATTCTTCTTTTTCTCTTTTTTACTCTAAGGAGGTAATTTTGAAGAGAGCAGCCGACCTGGTAGAGGCCCTCTACGGTTTGCCCCATAATAACCAGGTAAGGAACACAAACATGCAAACATCCACAAGGAAATTTAAAAAAAAAAAGAAAGTGTTATTTTAGCTGCCATGTTTCCTTTCCTCTTTCTGTAGGAAATCATCCTGAAGCGTGCAGCGGACATTGCAGAAGCTCTCTACAGCGTTCCACGAGGACACACCCAGCTCTCCGGCTCTACCCACAGCGGCATGATGGGGGTCAACTCCTTCACAGGGCAGCTGTCCGTCAACGTCTCCGAACCCACACAGGCCAATCAGGGTAAGAATTTAGAGGGTTCATAATCATAGTGTAGAGTCATTTTAATGGAAAACCAAATATAGGTCATCACTTCTGATCTAGAAACACTGAATACAAGATTTTCACTTTTAAAGAAAAATAATTTGATATCTTTGAATCTTTGAAGTAACAAGACTTCAGTGTATGTTACACAAGTTGCTCAAACACAGTGTTGTGACATATTTGCAGGGAAATCATCATCAGTGCATCTTTAAAAAAAAAAGTGTCATAAAGTCTTATCACATTTTGACATATTTTCTTCTTGTTACAGAAAATGTATTAATACTGTGTGGATGCATTGTGGAGTAAAAGGGTGTAATATTTATTTAACAGCCAGTTAAACAGCTTTGTTCTGGTGACATTTTTAAGGCCTAGAAAAGTCAGTCAAAAGCTGCTATTCTGAAATCACTGTAAACATTAAACCATGTAACTTAAAGATATCAACACTGATAAAGTCAGCTTTTTTTAGGCCACCATATATGCTTCCACTGCTCTACGACTCCCTTTTCCAAAGTTCACTTCAGTAAATAGGAAAAGTTTTTTAACAGGTTTCATATAAATCTACACCCTTAACCTTCGCAGAACTGCCAGATACATGATGAATGATCTGTGCTCACATCACTTTGACTGTCCAATCACCACATGCTGCTCTTCCTCTTCCACCACCCTTTCTGCAGGTTTTGTGCGCAGCAGCAGTAGTGTGTCACCTCATGGTTACGTGCCCAGCTCCACGCCTCAGCAGACCAGTTACACCTCAGTTACCAGCACCATGAACGGCTACGCTAACAACACTGGCATGACCAACCTAGGAGGCTCGCCCACTTTCCTCAACGGCTCTGCAGCCAACTCGCCTTATGCTAGTGAGTGTATATGTGTACATTTACTCCACAGACTCAAACACTCAAGCGTATTCTCCACCTGGGGAGAAATAACCGTTTTACAACCAAGCTACTTCGCTTAGGAAGAACTTGAACCACACTGAAGTTGTTTATTACCGTCATTTTAGCTGCTTTGTAGAGAAAAATCTACCTATTCTGTCATAAAACATTAAATTAACTAAACTGCCACCAATCTCATCAAAATGCAGTAACGTAGCCACTAGTGTAATTACAGGTGCTCAACATTGCGTACATGCAGATCTTACACACTGTACCTACACAAGTCTGTGGACAGAAAGTCTCAGATCTGCCGTGTGGAGATTCCCCCATGGGGATTTCTGTCTGTGTCTTCAAAAACAATCACCAACTCACAGCTCCATTTTGTCCTCCCTCCATCTCCTCCCTCCTGGCCTTTCATCTGACAGCCACACCTCTTTTCTCTCTGTTGGTTAATTGCATCCCTTTTTCCATTTAGCGAAAAGATAGAAAGAGGGAGAGGGATGGGAAGAAAACAGGGATTCTGTGAGAGATGTGATATTTTGTTTGTTTGCTGATATTTTTTCTGGTGATGACGATGGAAATAAAGATGTTTGACTTCGGAAGAGAAGGTCAATCTACTTCTCATGAAGTACATTTTATTTTAAAAAAATACACTACATGGCCAAAAGTGTGTGGACAGATGGACATTACAACCTATATGTGATTTTTAAACTTCTCATTCCAAAACAATGTGCATCAATATGCTGCTATAACACCCTGCCCTCACTGGGGAAGACTTTAGAATCTGGTTGCAGGGATTTGCTCCCATTCAGCCACAAGAGCATTAGTGCGGTCGAGCACTGACCTGGCTCACAGTCCGGTTGTTTAAATTCATCACACATTGTCATGTTAAGCCAGTAACGAGAACTTCTAAACTATGACTGTATGCTATAACATTGATAATTCCCTTTATCAGATCTTAAGGGCCCAGTTCAAACCACGAAAACAGCCCCAGACTAAAGAATACAAAAAATGACATGAGTGTCTACAAACATTTGGCCGTATAGTATATTCTCAAAAGTCCAAGTTCAAGCCCTCATATCAAAAGCTCATTCCAACTTCCTTTGACATCTTAAAAACATTACTTTATTACTTTACATTACTCTATGTTTCACACAAGGTGGAGATTGTAACTGATGTAACTGATGAAACAATACATTTGAGAATCATGTCTAGTGAAGTAACCATAATCTTCTTTATCCCACCTCTCTCCTTCTCTTTTCTTATTCGTCTTTATTTATTCCACTCCAGTTGTCCCATCCAGTCCCACTATGGCCTCTTCCACCTCTCTCCCCTCCAACTGCTCCTCCTCTTCTGGTGTCTTCTCCTTCTCTCCGGCCAACATGGTGTCGGCGGCCGTTAAGCAGAAGTCTGCCTTCGCTCCAGTGGTCAGGCCCTCTTCTTCCCCTCCGCCCTCCTGCACTAGTGCCAACGGCAACGGGCTCCAAGGTAATTTACCATGACAGCAGTCAGTCAGAGGATGCTGGGAGGAAGGAGGATTTCCCCAGAAGATTATGCTGCTTTGCTGAATTTTTTATGCTATTCTGTCACTGGAGTCACTGTTATGTTTCATGTCTTTCCCTCGCTCCTCTTACAGGACCTGATCATTCAAATAGTGCATATACTGTATGTGTTTATGGACATTTTCAGTCCCCCGGTGGTGAATCCTAATGACTTTTGTGATCCTCTGACTTTTCCTGTTGCCACCATGAGGTTCATATTTTGTGGTTTTTAGTGAAACAGCAGTGGACATGCGTTCTTGTCCCCCTCAGGATCAGTTTTAATAACGTCACATTTCTCCAATACTTTAATAACCAAATACCCACATGCCACTCCCTTTAGCTTCAGCTGTACTTTGTGTGTAGGGCTAATTAGCAAATGCTAACATGCTTAACTAAGATGTTTACCATGGCAAACATCATACCTCCTAAACATCAGTATGTTAGCATTGTCATTTTGAGCATGTTAGCGTGCATTAGCTTTCAGCATAAGTCACTCACAGTGAGTGAACTAGAACTAGATACTTTATCGAAGTCTGCTTTTTATTCTGCTTTTGATTAACATTTTTTTTTCATTCTCTCTCCTCCCTCTTGTCTTTTCTCTCGACTCTTAACCCTTGTTTCATTCCTCTGACCTTCCACCCTTCCTTTGTCATTTCTCTGTCCCTATCTCTCTCTCTCTCTCTCTCTCTCTCTCTCTCTCTCTCCTATCTGTCTCTCTGCCTCTTTCTACCAGATCAAACATTTGTGGACTCTAGCAAGTACTCAACAGCCAGCTCTCTACAAGGCCTGGCCTTCACCTGAAGTATGTCCCTCAGCTATCTCTTCTTTCAACTCTGTTGACTAATACCATTTGCAACTTTTGGTAAACTTATTTCCATTAAGTGATGAATGTCTCTGATTTTTCACATCTTTTACCTATGAATGATCCTTTAGTCACTTTCCTGATTTTTCATGTCACATCTTCCTCTCTTTAGTTCTCTCTCCATCTTCCTTCTGTCTCATCATCAACCCTCCATCCTCTTTCTCTATAGGTGTACAGAGACTTTATTATGAGTATCTGTACAACCATCAAAATCATTTGTCTCTGTATTTGGATAGACTGACGATGGGTGTGGTTTATACCGTAATTCAACTATTATTATTTTTATTATCATTTTCTAACCTAATATTCATTGGTAATGCAATTATTGTGCCTTATAAACATCAAATTAATTCAATATTGCCATATAATTAACTTGCAACATCCTCATACTATGCTTTTCATCTCTCTCTCTTTTTTTAAAACTTTTATTGTTAACTAAATTAAGTTTTATGAACTATGTGAACCCCACCACCAAACCTCCTTTAACTGGGAAACATTTAACAATGAGAAACTGAAAAAAAAATGTTATATAGATATATAGCATTTAGCATTTAGTCAGACCCAGCATGCTGCCTATTGGTCACACAACATCTTGGGTACATTTGATTTGTGTCACTCGCTGGGTGGGCATTCAATTTAAAACCGTCATAAAAACGTCGGGTAGAAGAAATATCCGTATCCATCACATTATTTGTGCTTTCCCGAATAACAGTTTCGGGTACATCCCTATTTTCCATCCACAGCACACATCTTGTGTTGCCTGGTAACCCCTCCCCGTCTTCTTATTGGCTGGGAAAAAAGACAGGAAGTTAGATATTTACAAAAAAAAAAAAGACATTTGGCAGAGAGAATTTATTTCTCAACATCACTGGCTTTGTTTAGCTGTGTGTGTCTTTGTGCTTGCTTTCTTATGTTTGTGTACGTGTGTGTGTGTGTGTGTGTGTGTGTGTACAGAGAGCATGT